ACCGAGACAAGTGGTATTTCTCTTGAGCCCAAGAGCAGCTGAACCAAACAAGCAATAAAAAGGGTTTGCTGTCTAACATCCTTTAAGTGAGATGCACAGACACCTACAGACATGGAAATGCATATGCATGTATGTAACACACTTGTTGACTGCCCAGTAACATTTAGAAATATGCCTAGAAATATTTGTACTGCATAAACACTCAAATAGCTGCATTTTCCCACCAGGTTCCACCATGCCATCACGATCTGCACCAACATACCGGCAAAAAGGTGTAGGACTTCTCTCCAAAAAGCCGACTGGCAAGCCGTAGGAGATAGGGAGCATTGCTTCTGTTTATATCCATAGTCAGAGTCTGAAATCTTGAGTGAATATCTTCAACTTTGTCAAAATGAAGTGTCTGAAATAAAATAAGTGAATGAGCTGCTGCGAATACTGTCTTAAAAGAACAATACAGTATATTTGTATCTGATCCAGAAGACAGGTAGGTTGAAGAAAGGCAAAAGGCTAAAAGCTGCTTAGAGAATTCTGTAAACCTTGAAAAAATTAATGAAACAGTTTCTTGGTGCTACTTGCTCATCAGCCACTTGTATTAAGCTCCTGGTTTATACACAGTGACAGCTGAAGCTGTTGATCATAATCCCCAGTCCCATCCATGTAATATCGGCATGACTCCCCTCCATGGACCATGGGGCACAATGACTCATTCTCAAGTGCAAAACTGAAGAGAGATGATGCCAATAGAGGCACTTCGGTTTTCTGGCTTCACCCTTTGGCCGAATGGAACCTTAGGTTTTGTTTTACAGAACGTACAGTCAAAACCAGCGCAGGTGATGTCTCAAGAAAACTTAGAACAATTATCTTTTATGGTTTTATGAAAATATAAATCTATGAAACTGTATCATCTTAAAAATCAAATTCACTACTGCAGTTTCTTTGCACCAGTACCTCCTTTCCCAGAGGCAAGCTGGCTGGCCAGGGCTCACAGATATGACAGAAGAAGCTGCCAGACCTCACTGACAGGGAAGGCTACCCCAAAGCAGGGATATTCATATTCAAACTTACACCACCTATTTCTCAGTAGGGACAACTACTGTGATACAGCCACTGGACTCGAAGGAAAACTCTTATCTCACTGGGTTTTCAGTCAGGCCTTGCTGTCCACCCTTATGCAAGCTGTGTTGTACAAATGAATAACTAAGCAAAAACATCATGGAGTCAAAATGGGATTACGATCATGGAAAGAAATTCCTATATGCTTGAGTACAGCCCTTGACAGTTACCAATCGCTACCTCCTTAATTAGCTATGTTCTCATAAGTAATGCTTTATGGTACAGGAACATGCATTACTAAAGTATCTATGTTGAAATATATTTTTCCCCCAAGTTCCTTTTGCATGACTTCTGCTGTCAGTAAGTTTATTGTAGGTGGGGCTGTCAGTTTGATTACATGAAATATGTGTTCAAAGTCTGTTTGTACAAGCAGCGAGAACATAATTTTATTGTCTTATTCAGCAGGCATCAACTCAACAGTACTAAACAGTTCCTCCTCAAGTCCAGAATACAAAGGTGAAATTATTCATAGGCAAACACATGATGGTGACTACAATGAGAAGCCTCATACACCCTTCTTTGTGCTAGCAGGCATTAGCCTAATCTGGGGGGAAATAATAGTGACTAAGTCCCTTCCATGCAGGAGCGCCCATGGGAAGCTGGTGCACTCCTATGTACACCACTTTTGTAATCATATTTTTTAAACTATACTACCTAACCTAAGGCTGTGGTGAGAATAAGCATGTGGGCTCAGATAACCCAAAATACTGGAGTGCTTAACTGTTTACTGAGATACTACTAGCATCACAGTGTATCATCATACTTGTAACACTACATGTAAAACTATGTATTACTATTGTGCTTCTTACAAAATACACACTTATATTATTAGCAATAAGCATACTGTTGGTGACCTTGTACTACAAATCAAGAGTTCTGTGTCAAAATGCCTCATGAAAACTGGAAACTCCAATCAATTTAAATGGAGACTGATTAATTAATGAAGTAGTTTCCTACTTCAAGAATTAATTTAAGAAGTGAAATTAAATGAGAAACAAGAGTCATAGAAAACATGGAAAGCAGGCTCTGGAGCAGGGCAGGAAGAAGGCAACTACAGAAAAGAGCCCAAGGAAGACTCAGTGAGCATGACAGAAACCTTGTCCTGAGCATGTAAAAACACCACAAACATTTCATCTTCTTTCTGCTAAACCACAACAATCTTTAATGGAAATAAAATATAAAGCCAAAGAGAATTATTTATTTCTTACTAACCTTCAGTACCTGTGCCTCTGTATTAATTTTGGACCCTAAAAGGACCATGGCCAGAGCAGCAGAGACACTGAGGGGAGAGAAGAAAACGTTGCCTGTTGGGTTGGTGTCATTAAACCTTCTGAGTAGATCAAGTGCAAATCTGCCGTTGGCATTACACAGAGTCTCCATGGTTACAGCTGAAAAAAAAAACCATCAGTGAGGACGCTGGGAAACACTCGTCAAAAACCTAACCTAACCTTGTGTGACTCACAGAGTAAAGGCTGGATTAATCTGGTTGCAGCTGGGTACAAAACCAGCAAGAATTTCACTGTCAATGCATCTTCTTCTTCAAAAACAACCATTATATGTATTTTTTTCCCACATGTATCACATATCCCAACCTTCCCTATGCTAACTTTAAAGACATTATTTAAAAAGATTCCTTGCCTTCTAAATTGAAACTACAAGTATGTGTGCTGGCAGGATTGCAAGTTGAAGTCCTTCAGCCTCACAGACTCAGCATACCCCGGAGAGTTCACTCATGCTGTTTTCACCTCACTCTTCTACCCAAATCCTGCAGAGAGGACATTCACAGTAACTGCCCAAGTGCCCAGGGACACTTTGCAGCAAGCTGACCCACTTCATGCCACAAGAAGGTGTCAATGCTGCCAAAGGCTTAGGCACAGACTTACCTTTAGGAGTGTAAAGCGCTGCTATCTCCACCAGCCTGCTCTGCCCAGAACAAGTGAACTACCTGCGTGCCTCAGCCAGGTACAAACCTGAGCCCCAGTAGGGCTGGGCAGCCCCTGACACACAGGCAGAGCCCCGGGGTGTTGTGAGCTGAAGGTGACATACCGGCTATCAAAGGCAGAAGTGAAGCACAGAACAGAGCTTCAGGCCTCACACTGCTCAGCCAAAGCAGGGGTTAATTTTGGTGAGATGCTCCTTAGGATGCCCTTGGAGCAGGATGGATGGTGCGAGGGCTGGGTCAGGAGCAAAAACCTACACACAGGCTAGCGGCAGCACTGCTTGAGGTTGGAAAACCTTCCTGCTTCTCTCCGCTTGCTTGGAGCAGGACTTTTGCATTTGGCAGTTTCTAGCTTGTTTCCTCAAAGAGTTCCATTTGTGCATATGCCGCAGCAGCCAGGGCAGCTGCCCAACGATATTGTCACTGATACTGTCCAGCTACACGGAGGAGTCTGCAGAGTCTTTCTACGGGAACTGCAAAATAACGCTATCTGCTTCCACCACCAGACGGACAAATGCCCTGCATCTTTGCAACGTTCTTTTATCTAGCTGTATGATAAACAGCCCCATACAAGACAAAAAAATCCAAACACAAACTCAGAAAGCACGCATACTTTTAGTTCCACTTACTGACACCGCCGCGCCGTGTGGCTGCTTTCACTGAAGTCACCCGGTTTACGGCCCCCGCCCGCCCCAGCCTGCCCTAGAAGTGCACGCCGCCCCAAGCAGACCCCGCCGCCGCGGAAGGGAGACACGGGGCGTCCCGATATCGCCCCATTCACGTCAGTGCATCTGGAGGGGGGGGCTGAGGCGAAGCCTGCCTTAAACCCCTCTCGCCCCGGAGAACCCCAGCACAGCCCAAGACCACTCGCCTGACTGCGCGGGCCGGCGCGGAAGGAAGCGTGGGGACCGGCGGGGCGCGACGAAGGCAGGAGAGAGGCCGCGGGAGGCGGGAGCGCGGCCCCGGAACAGAGCTGGGTGTCCTCACCCAGGAGGGAAAGAGCCGGGTTGAAAACCGACTCTCCCTACTCCGTCAGTGCATGATCGGAGGGTTCTGACCCACGGGACAAGTGCAGAAAGCCCACCCAGGGTATGTGTCTGGGAGTCCTAGTATTGCCTGGTAATAATACTAATAAAAGCTTTCTGGTGAATGAACTGCAGGGCTCTTGTGAATCCTTAAATTACTTGATACAAAACGGCTTAATCAGAAATTGCCTCGTACACTAAGCTCTGTGCACCAGCTCTCACTGACATACCCTTCTTGACAGTAGTTACTAGAAATGGTAGTAGTTACTACCCTTCAGTAGTTACTAGAAATGGGTAAGTCAATACTATTACTTAATTCCACTCTTTAATTCCACTAACTGCTGTTTCCAAATCAAATCAGTCACACCCTTTGCCTAGAGAACACCTCATCCAGGTGTCCTCCCTCCACACTGCCCTGCTGTCAGACTTCTCTCTTTTAATGCAAGGAACATAACAGCATGGAAGGGCCTCTTAGGCTCAATCCGATTTTTTCTCCAAGTCACCAGGAACCCACCCCACTGGCTTTGGGAGCAAAGCACTAGCCCTGTATTAAAGCTCTGACATATCCCACCCCTCAAATCACATAGCACTTTCATTTCCCTCACCCCAGACAGCCAAGTTACAGTGTACTGAAATAAGCAGTGCAATCCAGCACTATCTGGATGACAGTCAAATGCTTTGGAGTTGTGGACAAAAAGGTAACAGTGCAGTCCTGCACAAAAACAGCTCTTTGCTAAAAATCTTCACAATGCCAACACCAAATGCCGTGGCAACCTAAATAAGCGCCGCAGGACTGCAGTACTTGGAGAATGTTTGGAATTCATTGTCAAACCCAGCAAGTACCCAGAAGCTGGTTGTAAGGTAAATGGGATTTCTCATACTACAGATTTAAGAAATAAAAGGCATAATTTATGGTTAAAGACTCACACCACTTCAAGTTCTTTTATTATTTTAGGAATAGAAACAGCAAAACAAAACTGTATTAGGAAAGCTATTTCAGCTATATCTTTGGTATTATGCAGTTGCATTAAAATATTTAAGAAACAATGAACAGGAAAGATCTATCACAGCAGAAAGTCTTTGTTATTCAAATATTGCATAGGCACCATATGCTTTTTCATTACATTCTTTAAAGGACTAGAACCAGCTGATAGGTTATAAACTCAGGTGTCCTCTGCTGATAAAACACTTCTCACTCCACGATTACCCTACAAGGACACCTGGTACAAAGCCATATTTTTATTCCCATTCTTGCCTAAGTGCTTGTCCAGTTATTATCCAAAAACCCTATTTCATCAGGTTGCTTAGCAACACTTGGAAAAGACTGCTAAAGGCTCCTTTCATCTCTAGGGAATGTATCAAGAGATTAAGTGGATGAGTTTGGAACAAAAAGACAGGGGATGGGAGGAAAAAGGGGGAGGGGAGCTGAAGACATGCTCCAGCCTTGTCAGAACCAAATTAACACCTTCTTTTCCAGTGGGAAGTCAATGCCCAACTCTACCAGGTAGCCACAGAAAGTAAAGCCGAAATGGGATCTGCAAGGAGAGAGGAAGCACTGGCTGAGCCAGTGGGATGTTTCTTGTGTCAGCAAGAAGTGAAGACATCTCTGCGCTGAGGTGCACCAGCTAAGAGTTGCTTTAGATGGCATTGGCTCCATGTGTCTAAAGTAGCTCTCTTATACTATCAAGCCTGAGATGAAGACCACAGAACTGGACTCAGGCACAGCTGAAAGAGGTAATTAGTGCAAAAAGAGCAGCCCTATTCCAAAGAAACAGAAAGTTACTGTGTAATGGCAGCCAAGACATCTTCTTTCTAGGGAGAACAAAATCTCCCACAGAACAAAATGGTGGAAGTTTTGTTGTGCCGGATGAAGAAAAGGAAGGGATGATCTGCAATGAAGTCTTCAACAATCATCGCACAGCGCATCATCATCACTCCTGCTGTGGCAGCTGCTGCTTCAGTGCCTTCTTCATTGACTTCCACAAAGGACTTGTGAATGACTTCTGAAAGCACCAGCTCATTGCCAGATGAAATCCCTGAGAAGTCTGCCTTCCCTAAGTCAAACGCATCAGGCATTCCCATGCTGCTCAGGAGGGGTTTCAGATCATAATTTTCTTCCAGTTTAAATCTGGGTAAAGACACCTTCACCTCTGTGCATTCCATAGCTTGTGGATTGAGCCAATCTGTCACCTTCTCATATGTGAGTTCTCTTTCCAGCTAAAGAAAACCCAAATATTTACATAATTAAAAACAGTTTTATTCAGCCATAAGTAGTAATTACTGTGTTTGTTTATACAGTGCATAACATGCATCTTTCTTCCAGGGTTTAGAGCATCTCAAGCCAGAAATGCAAGTTCTGCTTCTCATTAGAGAACTACAGCTTGAGCCAAGATCAATCCCACATGCTTTTTGGTAGATACAATAAGGATCAGTCCCTTCCATGTAAAGTTTACTTTTATAAAACATGTTAGATTGGGGGCTTTTTACATTTTGCATATGGGAATCAAAGGCAGAGAAGAACTAATGACAAGTTCTCAAAGAAACCAAACCCAGTTCCTCTATTTCTTAACCAGAACATCCTCCCTTGGTTTGACAGGCTGATGAAAAAGTCTGCTCACAATGCCCCCTGCAGTCAGTGTTAGAAAACCTTATTAATAAATTCTTGTCCAGGGCATGCAATAGCCAAAAAAATTGAGTCATATCTCCACAACAGAAGAGATCCTACATTTTCCTGTGAGCTTCTCTGGAAGTGGGCAGGGACAACCTGCCAGCTGTTCAGAACAGAAGATCTATGGGACAAGCTATAGGACTTCCTAAGAGCTTCCCCAACACCCCTCTCACCACATATGCTCCTCAGCACACCATGCCCTCACCATAACCACAGCTAACACCTGTTGCTGAGGAGGGTCAGGTCTTCAGCTGGTGCTAAGCACCAGTGACATAAAACTCTGGAACTGAACTACAGTTCTATATGCAATATCAAACTTTCTTCCCCAGGACACAGACTTGCATTTATCTCAACAACTTACACTTTCCAAGCCAGTGGACCCATCCTGAATTGCATCAGGGAGCAGGATAATCATGCTGAGTTCATTACCAACATAAGGGAGCTCAAGGATTTTGGTCTGCAAGTCCCAAATATAGGCCATGTTAAACTTATCCTTCCTGCACATCATCTGCACAGGTCTGGTCTCTTCCTAAAAGTAAAGAGATGTTATCAGGTAGTACTGAGTGAGTATGCTGGTCTCAAAATACAAAGCAGGCATCCAGTTACTCAGGGCTTTTAACAATTTGACTAAAGAGAACTAAACACAACACAGAGCTCAGCCTCACCACTGCCTTTTGTGAAGAAGTAAGGATCCCTGAGACTTAATTTTTAGTTACTAATGTGGAAATTTCTGTCAAGTTTCCTTTAAGGAAAAAAGGCAAAGACATGTTTGTCCTCTTAACAACTAGTGACAAGCACTAAACAGAGCTGGTAAGAAGCAGAACCCATGTTCCCTGCTTTAAATGAATGCAGAGCTGTTTCAATGTAGGTATTTTCATTTTTAGTCTATGTGGCTCCAAGTGCTGTAAACAAAGAGAAATTAAAATACTTTAAAATTTTATTAAAAATACTGAGAAAGGGAGAACATTATTTTGAATTCTTAAGTCACATGGATAGTAAGAAGGTGTAAGATTTTTCTCCCAAATTTCATTCTCTGGTATCTCCTTCCGTTTTCACATGGTACATCAGCTACTGTAATTCACATAATTATTTACGATCTTTTCAGTTAAGAGCTTCATTACTTTCTCCTTTACCTTCATGAGATAACCATGTAAGTAGCTTTTTGTTTTTAAAATAAAGGCCATTGAAACAATACCCACAGAGAATATGGCAGAAATTATCTTGCAGCAGCGACACAAGAAAAAGATAGCAGCCTTCTAGTATCTGAAGGGGGCCTGTAAGAATGCTGGAGAGGGATTCTTCATTAGGAACTGTACTGATAGGACAAGGGGCAACGGGTTCAAACTTAAACAGAAGAACTTTAGATTAGATACAAGGAAGAAGTTATTATGAGGGTGGTGAGGCACTGGAATGGGTTGCCCAAGGAAGTTGTGAATGCTCCATTCCTGACAGTGCTCAAGGCCAGGCTGGACAGAGCCTTCGGTGATATGGTTTAGTGTGAGGTGTCCATGCCCATGGCAGGGGGGTTGGAACTAGATGATCTTAAGGTCCTTTCCAATCCTAACTATTCTATGATTCAATGATTCTATGAATAGGTAAAGAAAAGGCCACACAGCACATGAAAATCATTTTGTTTCAAGAGGTGCAAGCATCAGAGAAGTAATGTCACAGGATGCTGGAAAGGCTCTTGGGATGTTAATGTAACTCTTTCCCACTGGGCACACTGTAAGACAGCTATCTTAAAACTTCAGGTTACACCTCAGATTGCCAATTGTTCATTTGAGTCCACTCACACACTTATGCAGACCATCAGTGGCTAGTCATTAATAGGATGAAAATACAAACTTTATCCATTAAGTATTATGAGGAAAGAGACTTGCAGTTCTCTATGTGTTTAAAAGCAAGTTCCTTGGGTAAGCCAAGGCAGCATTCCCAAATCCTACATCTTAACTTTCTCCAATAGTTCTCTGGATCCCTTTCCTAATTTCAGGACATCCTAAGTCTGTACTAGTCCAAGGAAAAGAAAATTCAGTAGTACGCCTGGATACCATGCAAGCTTTTTTTTCAACATGCTTCAACAGTGAGAGGGCAAGGCAGCAGGAACCAGGTCAGTCCAGTGGTTTCTGAAGTGCTGCAGTAGGGAGTATGAGGTGAGCAGCAACACTCCTAACTGAAAAGTGGTATTAGCAGTTCAAGGTAATACGTTTCACCACTGGGGGAGGGATGGTTTGAAATCAGACAGGAGGGCTTCAGTTTTGAATAGTGTTTATTTTTAAGCAGGGAAGTTAAGGAAGTCATGTTACCAGCTTTTGCTAGTGACATCTGGAGGCAGACCCAGAGTTTAAGGTGATCTTGAGGGGCAGTCATATCCTGCTAATGATAGTAGCCAAGGCTTCTTCAATGGCACTGATACATTTCTAAAAGCAAGTATAGCATGGGGTCTTCAAAGACTTATTTTTAATTTTACATTTGTTTTGGACAGAAATGGTAGAAATGGGGGGGGGGGGGGAGCAGTGACTGAAGACTTACAAGTTTTGCACACGTGTAACTGCAGCTTTCTGCCTATAACCTAAAGGAAATTTTCTTTTCTTATCCTCACCAGTTTTATCATGAAATAATGAAGTTCACAAACTTCTGTGAAATTGTTCACAACCCGCAAACAGCATGGCAGCTTTACTCAACTGTTCTCTTCAGTTCTGAGCTCTATAACTACATAGAGAGCTACTTCTTGCAAAAAAAAACAAGCAGGGCAAAAGGAAGAAAGAAGAGACAGAATGAAAAAAATACTTAGTTGTTATATTAAAGTTTTTAGTAATTATGTGAAACTTAACAGGAACTAAACAAAGAGTGCTCATATTAAAGTGAGAGGATATAAGGTATTTCATACAGCCTACCCAAAGTAACCCTGCTTGCACGAATTTTTTTCTTTCTGGTCTTCGAAGTTAAAATGTACTCATTTCAGAGTGCTTCAGAGTAACAGTGGATTGTCAGCATTTTAGCACATCATACCTTGTTTATTTGAAATGGCACTTCTGCTGTCCTCTCTTTGTCAAACTGTTTTGCCCAGTTGCCTTTGAAATAGATGGCATTCACCAACACAAGTCTGGTCAGTGAATCGAGAATGCCCTCTGCCAACAGGTTCTGAATTTTACCTTTACGATACATGGAGGGGGGGGAGAAAAAGGAATTTATTTAAACAGTTTGATACGTATCTAATTATCTAATATAGTACCTACTCTGTAATTAATATAGATGAGAGAATTATGTACCAAACAGAGCACGAACTCAATGTCAAGCTCAATGTTTGGTTGGCGTTTTTTTTAATTCACAATACTATATCCTGAAATAGCTCTTTACCCAAGCCAGGGCTGACGTTAAATACAATATAGCATCTTTCTTGCAGAACACTCACCTTCAGTCCTTTCCTCTACCCAGCCATTTATTTGTTTTCTGGAATCCTCCCACGCACGCATGAAGTCAGTCTTTTCTAGTCCAGCATGGTAGGATTTTTGACTCAACTCTATAAAGGACTAACACGGACATTCAGAATAGCTTTTCAACATTTTACTCTCATTCAGCCACATATGATTCCCAAATACACCAAGAAAATCTGCCCGCTCTTCTCCCCCAGCTTCATATTGAGCCATTGAAGTTTTGCTTTCACATTCCTATTAGGTTTTATACCATCTATTTGAACCAGGAACTGTCCACTGTATGTTAAATCACATGCTAAAGTTCTACGTAACTTAACTGAAAACTGATGTAGCTAGGTTTTTTGGTTAGTTAGTGTTCGTTTTTTTCTTCATTGAGAGAACATAATTTTGTAAGCTTCTCTTGACATAAATTTCATTGTTAAACTTCCCAAGGTTATAGAAAACTCTTCAGAAGGTAAACCGATTTTTCTTAGGAAAAAAGCCACACCTTCTGTCCGATTTAATATACCTAGATCTTTATTACACAGATGAAAAGTTTTAAAGTACAACCCACATAAGTTTTATCTATTAGACAGATGAAATACTACCATTCTTCATAAAAAGAATCATCGTAAATTACTCCCTGGGGGGAAGGCTAGGGAGGGAAAGGGAAAGAGAGGGGGAAAGTAGAGCCTTTTATCTTCTTGCTCTTAGGCAATCATCTAAAGGAACATATGTAACACAGTACCTACTACCCTTATTTAGATCTTCTGACAAGGAAAATCTCTTAAGTCATTTATTCCTGTCAGCATGATCTTTGGATGGCTTATGTAATAGAAGAACTATAAAATACTGCCCATGCTGAATAGGAATGACAATTCTTTTGTATCATATTTACACACTATCAAGGGAAAAGAGGTATGTCAACTATTTGTCCCACAGCCAAAAATATGGATGGATCATGGAATCCTGAAGAATTAGGAGTCTGACGGATTTCATAGTGCTTTGCACCAGTTGTGCACTTGGGTCACAGGTTACGTAAAAGGAGCTTCTCCATCAAGTTCAGATACCAGGCTCTGGCATAACCTACTGCATTAGTAGGTGTCACCCCAAAAAAACTAGAAAGTAAAATCCAAAGCTTGTCTTAGACCTCTGAAGGAAACAGGAAGCCAATACATTATACTAAAAAAATTACACAAATTTAATGGTTACTTACTGAGAGAAACTCAAATGTCTTTTCTCCGTAAAGTCGGTTAGCAGTTCTCAGTATATATTTGGTGTTTGGATCATTAATTTCAGAGAGAAGTGACTGATACCCATTGTGAGCATCCTCAGCCTTTTTCAGAGAAAGCACCTGTAGAAAGACAAACATCCTCAGCAAGAGTCCACGCCCTCCCTAAACACACTTGCTTCAACATTATTTTTTTCTTAATGACTTTTGGGGTTAAAAACTGACTTGAAGACAAAAGATTTTTCATTAAGCCTCCCATCTGGAGCTTATCATGCAAGTCACATATGATGTACCCAGACAGGTGTTGTACAAGTACTGAATTAGGGAGCAGAAGAGTCAGCAGTATTTAGTTTCCTTCACTCAAGCCAAGCATACAGTGTCGCAAAATCATCAAGGTTGGAAGGGACTTCTGAAGATCACCTAGTATAATCCCCCTCCTCAAGCAGGGCCATCTACAACCAGCAGCCCAGGACCACGTCCAGATGGCTCCAAGAATGGCAACAATACTATTTTAAAGGAATTTCCATACATTTAAAAAACTGTGTTTATACTCCTTTTCCACTTCCCAAAACAGGCAAACATAGGAACAAAAATGACTGATTATACTTTCAATAGTCAGTTGCATATGTAAAAAACACACCAAGTAGTATTTGCTACCTGAGCAAGTTTAAAAAAAAGTTAAGCCTGGCGACATTTTCAAAACATGTTTAGTCTGATATTAAGCAAAAAGAACATACTGGAAGAAAGTATTTTATGTAGCTCAATTCATCAAACCTACACAAAAACCCCAGGTAACTCTTAATGACATACTGAAGGAAGATCTGTCTCAAAAGACCAAACACACAAAAACCACACAAAAAACTAAACAGGAACCTCTGAATTTCATACCAAAGAAAGGTCCTCCTATAAAACCAGTAAAACCAGGTACTGCTTACATACATACCAAATAAAGACCTCTGCTCTCTGAAACCAGAATGACAATAATAGTTTAGCAGAAGTTCAGGTCACAGTCTAATACTGATCTGCTGCTCATATAGTCCCATCAAATTCAATACACTAGGTTTATTGAGACATACCTTTACTATTTGGGCTCCAGTGTTACCTTTTGAACCCAGCAAAACCATAGACAATGCAGAAGAAATACTAAAAGGAGAAAAGAACAGATTCTGCCCACTTCTGTTCTCACACAGCTTTCTTAAGAGGTCGAGCGCAAAAGCGGTATTTGCTGCACAGAGGCTATCCATGGTTCAGAGCCTGGGAGACGAAATATAAAATAAGAAGGACTCAAATTTATTCTAATATAAACTGACAACTTATTTCTGTCTTTTACATTTCCCAGAATAAACTACACAGAAAATGTCACAATTAGATTGGAAAATTATCAAGTCACTGAAAAACTGATTTGGTGGAACACGCACCTTAAATGCCATAGTAGGCACTTAAGTTATTTTGGCAATTTATTGTTTGCTTTTGTATTTAAATCCTATACCTGCAAAAGAGATAGCAGTTCCCACCTGTGTCATTAGACTCTTCACTATGTAAATAATACTACATCTTTTGAGACAATCAGATACAACAGTATTTTGTTTAGGATTTATTGAAACAAGTCGCTTTTGACCTCACAAAGACAGTTATCTGCCTTTACAGGAAAACCAGAGCAAAAGATCAGGTATCACAATAGCAGAATTATAAACTCTTACCTTGTCTAAGTCTATGTATCTTCAATATTACCTTCAGCTTACTGATACATGTGCATGCTGTGTTTTATACCTAACAGCCACTCTGGCAGACGTCTGCAGAATTACTTGACCTACAAGACTAAAAAGAAAAAAAAAGTTACCTGGTCAGCATGATGATTAATGTAATTTCCTCCTATAGTACAAAGAAAAATCAAAGTCCATTTCAGTTCCATTTTATTGCCTGCAACACGGAAACACACACAGACATACACACACAAAAAAAACAACCCTGCTTCCAGATAACTTTATGGGACATGCACAGTGCAACACACGTAACTTGTATGTACATAGTGTATATCAGGCATGTGTATGCCCAATATACATTACGTACACAGATGTGTAGGCAGCTAACCCGAGATTAAACCACACACCTATTAATGGAGCAATAAATACTAGAATTCTGACTTAACTGTAGTAAGTATCACCAGACATTGTGAACTATCAGTTGGCAGTAAAGTCATCTGCATTTTTTCCTTCCCTTAAGGCAGTGCCTACTGTTGATACGTTGCTACCAAATAAAAAGCCAACACTTAATTCACATCACTGATTCATTATCTCAAAAAATTAGGTGGAAAGGACAAGTTTCTGCATGCCTGATTTTCCATCTAAGAAAATTTTCTGCTAGTAGCTCCGCTATAAACAGTAGTAACTTTTATCCTGTTTCTCTTCTCCCATAACCGAAAAGGAGGGCGGAGGTGGGGTGCAATCCTCCAGTTCTGTGTGAAATCAGTAATTTAACTACACATACGTTAAAGCATAACTAAGAGGCACTTTGCATTTTCAGTCTGCGGTGGTTACAGCAACCCCCCAAATTTCCCTACTGTCCTAATACCTGCAGATTACTAGCAATAAGATTTTTTTGACCTGTAGGCCAAAACACACAGTAATAGTGACACCTATAAGCAGTTATTATCTAGAAAGTTTTTGTAGGGCTGCCACAAGAAGCAAGATCTAACAGACAAAGGGATATAACTCAGGCTGTTTTGCCTACCTGAAAATCAATGCATTTAACCAAATTATAAGTAACATTTCAACAGCTGTTATTAGCTATTGTTCCCATGCTTAAAGTCAAAAAACACAGCACTGCACCAGCTACTAAGGAGAAAAATGACTGCTACTGCTGAAACCAGGACATACACAATGGCTGCACTTTAAGGAACAAAAAATGTATGACACGAGCATATATTTGTCACTCAGTTGTAAACTGTATGCTGCAAAACCCTCAGTGATCACAGGGTTCGCTGACAGCAACTCATTCCTCACTCTGGTCTTCCTGTGCAAGTTCCTGGGTGCCCCGACCCTGTTCATTCCTACCACTATGAATTTGAAGCATATATTCTCAGCAGTAGACCCCTATGCTTTAGGAAAGTCTTCAGGGACAGGCTGTATCTACCTTCAACAGCAGATACACACTACAGTGTCCCTCTCAGCTACTGTTTTTGCCATGGGGGGACCTGGCCAGAGCAGGGTGCAGGGAGCTCCAGCCTGTGGCCCAAGAGACATATGCCCCCAAGAGTACAACACAGATTAGTGCCCACTATATGGAGATGCCTATCCAACGTCAACTGCCTCTGAGGAATCACAAAACAACTGTTTCAGACAAAGTCAGAGGAGGAACTCAGGGTGATGAACATCAGGTGGTGTCACTCTCGACAGAGGGAGCTGCGTATATGGGACAGACATCTTTTTCTACCCTCTGAACCAAAGCAACCTTTCTCGAGAAGAAGGCTTCACTTAGGTTTAGGAGAGTCAGGACAGATGTTCAAACATCTGAAAGGTAAAACTGCTAACAGCTCCAGACAGCTGCTCTTCACATCACACCTCTCTGGGGCGAGCAGCAGGATACAGGGAATGACACAGCTCCATGAGCACCCAACATCACCGGCCCTAAGCCCCCCCTAAGGAGCAGGGGGTCGCCAAGGTCTGACCCCATCCCAGCAAGCTCAGGCACAAACAGACAAGGGCTTGGTACTCCCTAGGACGAGAAGAACCTCCTCTGGGCCCCTACTGGACTTGTCACCACGAAAGACACCAAAACAACACTTCTGCCCGGCCCCATCATTTCTACACATGAAACACGCCCTCTACACGCCACTGCGACTCCAGCTGGCAAGAAGCAGAAACCACGAGAGAGAAAAAGGCACAAAAGCAACGCCACGCAGCTTCTACAGCACAGGCTCCCCGTAGGAAACGGCATCCCCAGGCCAGCAGCACACTCACCCCACCGGCAGCCGCGCTTCCCTCCTCCCGGAAGCGCCGCGGAGCCGGGGGAAAGGCCGGCAGCTCGGCCCCTCCTCAGCCGCGCCCCGGGATTGAGCCGGAGGCTACGGTGCTTCCTTATTCGCAGCGGCCAACGGGCAAGCGCCGCGACCGCACCGGCCAAAATGGCGGCCAGCCACTGCCCACTCCCGCCAAGAGCATTACCTTCCTCACCGTGTTCCCCCCCCCCCCCCCTTAGTATCTCCCTGGGCACAGCCGGTGATTTTCCAGATCTGCCTCCCTCTCGTGGCAGAGTTGGCAGGAAACACCCCCAGCCCATGGCAGGTTATAATTGTTTTTGATTACTTTTGAAGCAGGGCTTGTTTCAAACGAAAATGAGCTGCTGCTGTACAGGCTTGGGCCCTCCTCGTGTACCCGAGGGTCTGAGTGAGGCAAATAGTCCCTGTAGAGGTGTATTTTTAATTTATTTTTTTTTTAAAGGAAATCCGTGGAGTGACATGCATGTGAAGCTAATTTGAAGTTAAATTCGGAGCTGCTGAAGGTTTAAACCTGGGATGTGGAAGGAAGACAAGGGGATAGCCACAGGCCTTGGGTGTGGAGGGTCTGCCTCTAGCTGCAATGCAAGGACCGAATTGAGGGCTAAGCAGGGTGTAACTGCTGCAGGCTGGGATTAAGTGCTCAGACCACGTTTGAGCCAGGGGCTCTAGTCATGGGGTGAGGAGAGAGACTGTGTTAGCATGTGTTTGTATGCACTGCTCAGAGGGGAAGGGATAGAAATGCCACAGCTAATAATGGTTAGGACAGAGCTATCCTTGATGGCTTGGTCTGAATGACAACCAGGATTGCTCTATGGAAGCAAGCCACTGTGCCCTCCTCTTGGCTCTGTCATGGTTGTCCCTTCAGGGTAAGAGGGAGGGCACAGGAAGAGCTATGCCTCTGGCCCTGGGGTGTGCGGCCTGATGGAGAAAGGGTCAAGGTCCTTCTCCACCTAATTGCAGGCAAGCATCTCTGGCGCTGCAGGGCCAGGAGTAACTGACTAGGGTGAGCAGAGTCTGCCATAGAAGAGAATGGTTTGTGATTTGTTGTGTCTGATGAAGAAGAGAAAAGGGTGGTCAGCTTTAAAAGTCATTCTTGGTGCTTTTGATCTCATCACCAGAACACCTGTGGCAGCTGCTGCCTCAGTACCTTCTTCGTTGACCTCCACAAAAGCTTTGTGAATAACTTTTGAGATGAAAAGGTCCTTCTTCACTGACATCCCTGTGAAATCAGCCTGAAGGGGGTCAAAAGCATTTTGTATTCCCATGCTGCTCAAAGTGGATTTAAGGTCATAATTCTCTTCCACCTTCAGCTTGGGCAGGTACAGATCCACTTCAGCTTTCATCATATTGGCCGATTTGGTCCATTCAGCCAATTTCTCATAGGTCAGCTCTCTTTCTACCTGCAATGAATCAAGGAGGAAAACAGCTGGAATGTGAAGGACAGAGACAAGACATGCACATACCAGTGTCATAACACTCATCATATAAGGAAAGCAAGTGCCTGGAAAACATAGGGTTGAAATACTTTTAACTTAACTTAGGTTTAAGATAGAGAACAACGTTTGTGTTGTAAGTCTGTGGTGTGGTAACAGAATTTAGTAGTCTTACTAATGTGAGTGAATTATTTCTTACCATCCTTCTAATGAGTGAATTATTTCTTACCATCCTTCTAATTATCGGTTAGTTTGGAGACAGTGACTCCCGAACATCGGCTAGCTTAGGATACTTCTTGTCTGCCCATCCTGTTTTGCTTGCAATAAATTTCGTACGAAGGTCACACTGTTCTAACTCTTTGCCAGCTATCAGAAACTTAGAGTTATGGCTGGTTTCAGCTAGTTTTGTGATTACTGGGGCATCTAACTGTGCCAAAGGTGAAAAGTACACTGTGAGGAAGACTTCTTACTTCATCTTGAAGACCCCTGTCCATGACTGTCGGAGGGCAGTGTGCAACTGCCAAAAGGGAGAAGACTTATGATAATGAGTTCCTAAACTAATTGTAATAGCCCCACTGATCTCTCAGGAAATGTAATGAATGTGCATGTTTGTGTGTAATAAATACCTGCTTGCTTAACCCCTTGGTGTGCAAGTTAGGAGGAGCGATTCCCCTTGCACCTGGGCCCATAATAAACATACCTGCTTTATAACTCTCCTTGAGTTGTAGAGTCTGATTTCGTGCTTCACTCATCAAGAACATGTAAAACAAAACCCAGCCACCAGCAGTGGCTACAGCTGGAACATGCGCCATATTCATAAGGCATGATCCTGCAAAGTTCTGTGTGACTTATACTTCTGTTTATTTTCTTAAAGGTAGTGAGGTGTAGGCCTGAAACCTCAGAGTAGTTATATTTTTTTTCCTGGTGTGAAGAATATTGCTTTTTTGCAATGTGTGACTTATAATGATATTAGTAAGCTCTTGCTTTGTGTGTATATGGATAACTTTACTCCTAGTAGTGGGAAATAAGTGGAATGCATGGGACCTGAGGTACAAATAAGAAGATGCTTGTCCTGATCTGTTTAGAATCTGAAACTTATCCTGGCATGGTCATGAGTGGCTGTTGATACCTTCTGGGTCGGGATAGTCAACACTTAGTTTGAGAAACCGCCACAAAATACCAGGTGCAAATCTGGACTGCGAATGGTATAAAAATTAATTAATACAGCTCTTAGGAGAAGATAACTTTAGAGCGCAGTGATTCAGATTTGGTCCTTCCTTTGTTTGTGGTATTCTGGCAATAGAAAAGAGGATGCAAAACAGTCTAAGCCAGTTGTGCAGACATAGTTTTTAGATGCATCTGTAAGTAAAATACTATGTGTGCAATACTATCAGATGCCCTCCCATGCCCTCTTAGGAGCTGGGAAGTTAGGTGTTAATGAAACAAAGTATGCACACATCAAAACTTATTCTACCATGATTTTGAAGCTTATTCTTCCTCACTTTTAGTCTGTTTTTGTTACTGTATCATAGTGTATGTGACACAACAGCAGGTCAGTTTTACCAGCTCCAGACCAGTAGTGTTATCATTGATGTCATCTGGTAGGAGGACAAACATGCTCAGTTCATTTTCCACGTATGGCAGCTCAATGATTTTGAATTTCATGGTTGTTTCATGGAGTATCAAAAATGTATCTCTCAGAAACATCATCTGTACCAGTTTAGTCTTGGTCTGTGAAAAAAATCAGATGTGAAAAAAATCAGCCATGAAAAAAATAGTTACTTCATTCCTTAAATGGAAGTTTACTTGCTTAGTTGCACTGAAAGCAAAAATTTGCAAACAAGTACAAGACACAGCAGCGTTTCATGTTTTCTCCCAAAAGTTACATTTTTGGAGTAAGGGCCTTGATTGGGGGAAAAAAATGTTCACTTTCTTCTTGGGGATGCCATCAACCCTTTTGTTTTATCCTTCCCATCCTGTTTTATCCTTCCAGGCAATACTGATCGTCTCACTTGCTTCTGAACCATATTTTCTGTGGCTTGTGCTGGCTTTTCCTCTTCCCCAAACCAGAGAGGACTGGATTACCAAATGGAACTGCATTACGCCGTAGTCTTTTGAACTCCTATGCTGTGCCTTGTTCACAGAGCTTTTACTAATATATCCACTCTCAGCTTCACGTTGTTACATTTGAGTGCAGAAGTTTATCTGTTCACAGGCTTTGCTATGATGTATCCTGTGAATTAAACTGTCTGTGCACAATGTATTGGGTTTACATAGCAAGGTTTTTGTAGCAAGGGAGTGCAGGAGTGACTTCTGTGTGAAGACTTAAGAAGTTGCCTCCATCTCAGGCAGAGCCAGTTCCAGACCCACCACTGGTCAAAGCTGAGCCAGTCAGTGATGTTGGTAACATCTTTGTGATAGCATAGTTAAGAAAGGGTAAAAACTGCTGTGCAACAGCAGCTGGGAGAGAGGAGTGAGAGTATGTGAGTGAAACAGCTCTGCAGACACCAAGGTCAGTGAAGAAGGAGGGGTGTAGGTGCTCCAGGCATCAGAGCAGAAATTCCCCTGCAGCCAAGACCATGGTGATGCAGATAACCACCCTGCAGCCTGTGGAGGACCCCACACTGGAGCAGGGGGATGTCTGAAGGATGCTGTGACCCTGTGGGAAGCCTGCACTGGAGCAGGCTCCTGACAGGACCTGTGGCCTCATGGAAAGAGGAGCCCATGCTGGCAGGATTTGTGACCCCACAGAGGACCCACGCTGAAGCAGCCCGTTCCTGAAGGACAGCACCCCATGGAAGGAACCCACACTGGAGCAGTTCATGAAGAACTGCAGCCTATGGGAAGGACTCATGTTGGACATGAATGACTATATCCCATGGGAGGATCTCCACACGAGCAAAAAATTGTGAGGAGCAGCAGAGACCATGTGTGATGAACTGACTGCAATCTCCATTCCCCATCATTCTGCACTGCCTTTGGGGATAGATAGAAGAGTTTGGAGTGAAGTTTAGCCTAAAAGAAGGAAGGAGCCAGGGAAGGTGTTTTGTATTTGGTCTTATTACTTATTAACCTGCTCTGATTAATTTACAATAAATTAATTTCCCTAAACCAAGGCTTTTTTTTGCCCAGGATGGTAATTGGTACATTCTCCCTGTCTTTGTCTTGGCCCAGGAGCTTTTCATCCTGTTTTTCTTTCTCTGTCCAATTGAGAAATGGAGTGATAGAGAGGCTTGGTGGGCAGCTGGTGGCCAGCCAAGGTCAACCCACCACAACCATGTATCATGATGAATCCTAAAACCACACATGTAGCATAGTAGGTACACAGTAGGTTTTAGGTACACAGTCGCATCATTGACATAATTGCTTCATCTTGCCTGGCACACAAAAGGTGTTTGCACTCATAATCTATGTCAAACAAGATACTTCCCATTGACGAATAATTTTGCTTGCCTTTAGCACAGTCCAAAAATCTGCATGCAGTCAGCTACTGTGAATCATCAGTACACTAAATACTGTCAGCTCAATAACATGCCCCCCATGTATGCTGAATACATCATCCTCATGCACTCAGCTAAAATGACAGCCCCCATGAAAATTCCCTCTGAGGTTTTATGCAACACCCAGCAGGCAAACAGCTTGTTCAGTTTCCTTAATTCAGAGTATAGACTGTGTCTTAAAAGCAGAAGAGAGCTGTAGGTGTGTAAACAGCGCTCTCAAAAGCAACTCAGTCTGTTTTGAAAGTCAGACCTTGGTACTTATTTCCTCTTGTCCTTCAGCTGCTTAACCATGGTGTTCTCAAATGTTTTGATACTGAAGAACTATTAATTAAAAATCTTATTCTCATGAATATGCATGGGTAAGATAATGCTGAGTTCTTTTCACAGTTGCTATTCTCACTGAGTTTATACCATGTGTCCAGCTACAAGGAGCATTTCAGTGGCATATGAAATGTGGGTTAAGTATTTAGAGGTTTCTTGCTCCTCAGCAATAGACATACTGACATATGATAACAGGCATATAGACAAGGAATTTACCTTGCTCACTCTGAAGGGTGTCTCAGAAGTATTTTTCTCCAGAAATTTCTTTTCCCAATTTCCTCTGAAATAAATGGCATTTACTAAGACCAACACAGTGCGAGAATTGAGAGATCCTGCAGGCAGCAAACCCTGTATTTTCCCTTCAAAATCAGACAAATAGAACTGTTATTTCAGTAGGACTATATAACTCACCAATTTTATTTGTTCCTTCTCTATGCCTTCCTCTCTAGCAAAGATGTTTGCATTTGGGGGAGTTTTTACTGTACATTTTTCATCGTGTACATATGGTTAAAATAGCTTTGAAGTATATCAATACTTATTGCAATTATGACAGTAAATGGCATTGGAAACTGGGTAAAGTGGAATAGCTTGGCTATTCTGTGAAGATGGTTGCAGGCAGCTGAAGCAAGCAGAAGTAAAAACCTCAGTAACCAGAGTGAAGCCAATCAATATCTACCTGTGCCTTCCTCTGTACAGAAATAATTCAGAAGAGGCTATGGCATGAAGAGAAATAATTCAGAAGAGGCTATGGCATGAAGAATCAAGGGAAGGACCTTGTAAGGGGCATCAGTTTGGAGAGAGACATTCTTTATGCTTTTTAACTGTGCTTTGCTCATTACCTCCCCTGAGTTTTCAAGACTACAAGAGCAATAAATGTGGAAATACAAATTATTTGAAAGCTAGACAAGAAAAAAGCCACCAGAGTGGTACTTACTCTCAGTTTCATTTTCAACCCAAGAATTGATTTGTGCTCTGGCTTGTTCTGCAGCTGTCTTAAAGTTTACAGCTTGTGGCTGTGCATTGTAATAGCTTGTAATGAGCTGTAAGAATTTCTGAAAGATAAAATTTGAAAATGTATGCTTATTTAGTTAAGTTTGAATTATAAAAATGTTAGAAATAATCACTTCAACAGATTATACAATCAGCTGGTACTTAATTGAAGAAAACATACTTTGTTTTAAATGGGATTAGCCTTAAAAATAAAGTCTAATACATTCTATACTAAAAATTAAGGACAGACCAAGCTTCAGTCTCAAGGAATCTGATGCTTCAAATTTTTGTGTTTGAAATCCAATATGCAATTTGTAATTTTGAAATGCCCCATGAAACATTCTTCTTTTGGGTTTTTGTTGTTTTGGATTTTGGTGGTTTGATTTTGTTGTTGGTGGTGGTTATTTTAACTTCTCAAAATGACCTTTTTGTATAATTTAATTACTTCCTTCCTGCTTTGTGAAGTAGAATTCATAAATCATAGAATTCATAATTCATAACTCATTCATCATTTGCCCAGGGAGATTGTGAATGCTCCAGCCCTGGCCAGGCTGGACAGAGCCTTGGGTGGCATGGTTTAGTGTGAGGTGTCCCTGCCCATGGCAGGGGGATTGGAACTAGATGATCTTAAGGTCCTTTCCAACCCTAACTATTCTATGATTCTAATTCAGTACAAGAGGGAAGAATAGTTTGATATGAAGTTGAAACAAGGCTTTTAGTTTGCTACAGAGGTGAGGAGCCTGCCAAGAGTTTGTGAGGACAATAAAGGATCAGGCATAAAGGGAACATTCTGGTAGAATAAAGTCATGGGAAAAAAGCGGAATTAATGTTTGCATTGCTGTCTGTTGTGAAAGAGTTCATGGAGATTCCCAGCAGAAAATTCTTCAGATTTCCTGTAAAGCATGAGATTATGGAGAAAATGAGCAATAAACTTCAGAAGGACAGATTACTAATTACTTAGGAGACCAAACAAGTTCTAAGATCAGAGAACAGTAATCTCATTTGAAACCACCTTCCAGGAAACTGGAAGGTGATTAATACAACATCAGTTTTTAAAAAGATGTCAAAAATACAGGTGATTACAAACTCATGGGTCTGTACGGGGCAAATGAGTAGAATAGGTGTAGTGGGTGTAGGAGTAAACATGATGTATTGAAGGAATGTCAACAGCATTTTGTAATAGGAAATCCTAAATCACAAATCTGCTAGCGTTTTTTTAAGGTGTTGGGAAGGGTATGGGTAGAAAGGTTGAGCCATTATAGTCTATCTGTTTGGATTCCAAAAGGCATTTCAAAGACATTTCCTAAGACTTCTCACCAAAGGCTGAGCATCAATGGGAGTACAGAGGTAGATCCTGTTTGTTTGAAAGACTGGAAACCAAGAGGAGGAGGAAACTCTTCACAGTGAATGGTAATTACTACTGGAGTACCAAAGAGATATCTGATGAAGTCTGTGCTAAAGTATTTATTCTATAAAACCAAGGTCTAAATGTTTGCATTAACATATAAATATTAAAATATTTATAAATGATCCAGTGAAGTGTAAGGTACAGAAAATTATTATGACTGTTTAGGAACTAGGTATTGAAGCTATAGTGGGCAGTTGATAGGAAAATAATCTGACCAATTGCCGTCAAAAATCAAATACAAATTCAAGAGTTACAAAGAAAGGAGTAGGGAACAAAACATAGAATATTAGAATGGCACTGTATAAAGCTATGGCAAGCCCATTGTCTGAGTTCTATATGCAGCCCTGGCCTCTTCTGTCTCAGAAATGCTAGAGTGTAAAAGATACAGAGATAGGTGAGTTGGGTGACCAGAGATATGGAGAAGCATCCTTTAGAGGAAAAATAAACCAATAATGATGCCAACAGTCAGCAGTCTCAAAAGACACAGCCACTGATGAGGGTTCCCTAGATGAGGGTTACAGTAGATTCAAAATGCAAGCCTGCAAATTCATGAAGTCCCTGAGCTGCAGATCACTTGGTGCCTGCAGCAGATTTTGGAGAAACATCACTACACAGCATGCCTTGTTCTCATGCATTTCCTGAACTGCTGGCCACTGTTACAGATAGATGGACCTCTTGTCTGTCCAAGGCTACCCCACATGTCTGCCCTCATGTGCTCCCTGAAACCACAGTGGTATCATCTGGAGATTTTTTGTAATGTCTATTGATAATCCTTCTTAATGTCAAAATATTCTCAAGTAAAGATGTAAACTCACGGGCAGTAATGGGTAGGTCTTTTCCTCATACAGTCGATTGGCACTCTTAAGCAAGTAGGTACTTCTGGGTTTGTTCAAGGCAGACAGCAGCTCTTTGAAGCCAGAGTGGATGTTTTCAGCTTGCTTGTGCTCAGGATCCTTGGGAAGAGACACCAATTAGTATGGATTCTCTTGTAATTAAAATGGAGTTTTGGGGGATGGAGCTCTTTTTTTGATATGTTACACATTTGCAGGCAGTACTGTGTATAACTGGACAAATGGTTTCCTGTCTGTAGGGAGATGATCTGTTTCTGTTGTGCCATGCAGGCCTTTGGGGAAACAAGACCTAGGAAGCTGACTCTCTTCATTCCAGTCATGGTCAGGCCTACTTTTCAGTTTCACAAGGCCCGGTCAGTGCAGCCTGGCAGCTGCTGAGAAGGTGCTCTGTTTTGATAGACACTAATGTCAGGGCATGAACTTACCAGCTATTCAGATTTTCACTGTTTCACGTGAATTTTGTTGTTACTATTTGAATTTTGGAGGGAGCTTTTCCTGAATGTCAACGTTGATGGTCTCAGGGAGCATGCAAGCTGTTGCCAGCTGTTGCATTGCTGATGGAGGAATAAACTGCTACCTGTTAGCTACTTCCCTCCAGCTGCTTGGGTGCAGTCTCCTCCTTCATGGTGTATACTGTGCCCTGCATATGAGACGCCGAGAGTGTGTGCCACTGACGCATGGTGATTTGTCATAAGGTTGGTCAGGTGGCATTCCTTGTTCTAGTGTTTTCTCACTCATGCTGAGACATGGGCTGCTAGGAAGGACTCCTAGGAAAGAATTTAGTAGCCAGCGGGCATGGAATAGGAGAGGCTGGATTTTGCAATGGGATGGGAACAGACTTGAAGAGGTAATAGAGGGAAATATCTAAAGGACGAGACTAGGCAGACTTTGCTACAACTCAGAATGTCAGTGAGTTGCTAAAATGAACATGGATGTAATGATTCATCTTGAAGATCAGTCCCCCTCCATCTAGGAAGAGAATTATATAACCTTCCCCCTTTTATTTCCAGTTTGTCTAATCTAGTTTCTTTGAACTTTATTTTAGTTTCTGTGCCAAAGAAACATGGCTTGTTTGAGTCTACAAGCCTTTCCGTGCTTAGGGAGTTCATTTGATGAAAAACTAGTACCCCCCTGTGGCAAGTCACTGGCGAGCTGATGAACGTTATGAACATACATTAGCTTAAACAGGAATTTTGTTTGCCTGATGTGTCCATGCACGAGAAAAGTGGAAGGGAGTTTATTGTGAATGCAGTAACTGTTTTTCACTAAAAAACAAAAAAACAAACACAAAACCAAAAAACAAACAACAACAAAAAAAAAAACAGAAACAACCCAAAAAAACAACCCAAACTGTAGCTGGTAAGAGACAGAATTGTCGTAAGCATATCAGGACAATTGATCTGTTGTTGCTTCCATAGACCCATTAAAACCAAATAAGGTGGTATTAGGCAAATCAAAGCGCCACTAGTGTCTCAGTTCTGCCTTTGAAGGCCCAAGTTCATGAGTTTTTACAGTACCTTTGCCTGCTTTTTTGCATTTGCTCTTTCTATATATAGTTTTCACTGAAGTGCTATAGTAGATACAGACTGAAGACAAGCAGATGTTAAAAGGCTAACAGTAAACTAAACAGTAAACTAACTAAAGCAGTAGTTGTGTTTAACTATCTCCTTCTCAGAGATTTTTTTTTCTCTGAATCTTTTTTTGTAACAAATACCATCTTTCTTCTCTTTGGACTCCCCAGAGAAGGCCTTGTTGTCCCAGATGAGCTTTCTTCTCTTGCAGCCTGGTTAAAATGAAGAACCTGTGATGATGACAAATGTTCATAAAAACAGCTTTTTATTTGAAGATAAATGTGCTCAAGAGTTATATGTTAGTTTTCTGTGGTAATTCACCAGTGATGCCCAATGAAGTTTAGTCTATTCAAGTTATTAAGGACAAGTCCTTACTCTCAATTTAGTCTCTATAAATTATATCATTACTGTATAGAATTCAATCACATGTACTGCTTAATAATAGAACAATATTATGGCTGAAACATTAATTTATTTAGGTAAATATCAGTTTATTTGGGTGAATGTTAATTTTGTGCTTAGCTGCATGGAATTTATTTTCAGATCATGACCAGACACAACAAAGAGCATAGTGCATTTCAGAATCTTACTGCTGGGACACAAATGGAAAATTCTGCATTTAATGTGTTGAAATAAATGTTTATAACCTAGAAGAGTACAAAGATTGAATGATTCTGCAAAAGTGAGCACAAGTGAAGTTATATTTCCAGTAGTATTATGTCTTCATTATTTGTGGGAAGATTACTTCATTTACGGACTATGTCTCAAGCAAAGGTATTTGTACTGCTTCTGTGCAGGAGAGCTTACTAACTTTGGTATGCAGTATGAGAAAGCAGATATACTCTTTCCAGAACCACCTGGGGTCTAAAAGCAGTGATACTATCTCCAGCTTTTCTGTAGCATGTCTTAGCTCCATATTTTTTTTTTAATAAAGTTGTCTTTTTATTACTATTTGAGCACCATATCAGGTGGATTATTCTGTTCAAAGGACAATTAAAATGGAAGGTAGTGATCCAAGTAAGACCAGCAGCAGCCTTTAATGTCAGTAACTTCCCTCTGTCACACCCCTTGCAATGCTCTAGGAGCTGTAAGTGTAAGCTAAATGTGGGGTGTTGCAGAGCAGGGTGATCTTGGAAATAAAGTGGAAGAACAGTGACCTGCAGGATTGCTGGCGGCACAAGCAGGGTTATTTCCTGTACCAACATTATGTTCTACTGTGTTGTTCCTTTCTGTTCCACACAAGCTGAAGAATAATGCAAGTTATGTGGCAACAACCTGTGAAGTGATATCCTGCTGATTTCAGAGCTTACCTCAGCCATCTGGGTTGCAGTGTCACCTTTTGCACCCAGGTAGACCATGGCAAGAGCAGTTGCAATACTCCAAGGAGAGAAGAAAATGTTTTGGCCTCTGGAAGTTTCATTCAGCTTTTTGTAAAGGTCCAGAGTGAAGCTGTTGGTTGACACTGAGAGAGACTCCATTGATACAGCCTAAGACAAATGAGTGTCAGAGAGAGGTGGTGACTGCTTCTTCACTTCTTTTAACAAATACAAAGCTGCTAGTGGGAGATAGCCTGCACCTTCTCAAATACAGTGTGAGGGTGTCCGTGTAATGGGTAAAATACTGCACAGAGACCAAGTACAGTCAGCTAGTAGGTCTCTTTTTTAAGACCTGCATTATTTTTCCCTTCTCCATCACTCCTCCATGTCCTCAGCTTTTTATTTATGCCTCATCAGATGAGCACAATTTTAGCTAGAAATGTTTTCACAGACCCAACTTGTTTCAAACCCCCATTTGCTTAAGTTTTAGAATTCTTCAGTCGTGAGGGAGTGAAACACAATCATTTGTCACTGTGCTGCTTTGAGGTTTTTTCTATTTCTTTAAACTTCATGTGCTATTATTTTCTGCTGAAAAATCATGGTGAATTCATGTGATTCAGTGCATGTATCTTGACGGCTACTAGAGATCTGTAGATTTTTAGATGTTCTTGGTGTAGGTAAACACACATTTAGAAATTGTTTACGGTTTTTCAAATAAACTCTTGTATCTTACGTACAACCCCATATAGTTTGTGTTCTAAACAACAATTTTTCCCTTTTTTTGTCTGCTTTCTGATCAGAACCTCTTCCATCCTTGTTTTACTTCTTTTTCTAAACGTGATTTTACAGGACAAAACTAAAGCAAATGAGAACAAAGCAACCACAAGATTAAACTTATTTTCCACATGTGGATCCAGGTCTTATTAGCACATTTTATATCAGTCTAATACTGTTGACAAATATTAGGATAAATTCAGACATTTCTGTTATCTTCACCAGTAAAAGGACTACTAAAACATGTATTGAAGTCAGTGTAAGATGGCATCAGGTGAAAGGTTAAGCATTAGAACAACAACAGCAACTGGACATTTTAATCTATCTTCACCCACAATTTACATGCTTAAATCAAAACCTTCTGTCCTCAAAGCCAGCTGCCATGCAGTGTTAGAGATGTCCAAAGACTCTGGGATCCTTAAGTTTTGATTTCAAAGCCTCCCATGGCTCCACAACTGCTCTGAAATATTCTCAGGGATGCCTGAGGTGCATGCCCTGCAGCCTAGCTCACACCTAAGTACTTCTAGGACCTTCAAATCAGATTTCTCTTACTGCTGTGCCTGGAGAAGCTGATACTCCCAGAGCATATCTAGGGAACAGGGCTGAGCTGAACATTTTTGCCTGAAGAATTTCAAACTGACTTCTCCATCTCCTGCTCTCAGAGAATACCTGAACTGAATCTGCATGGAGCAATCAAGCTTTTCTCAGACTTGAGAGAGAGAGCAAGTGTGTGTTTCTTTGAGGTTCACTGGTTCTATTAGCCATCTCATTCATCTGGGAAAGGAAATATCTGGATGCCTGTTCCAGTAGTTATTTGATACTAGTGAAGTAGAGGCTTGAACTAATGCACATAATGCTGAGCATCCAAAACACCGTGCTACTGAGTCATGTTGTCTTGTGTGCTCAATTCCAGGATCAGCAGGAAGGTATTCTCTCCTGCAGCTTGTTCTCAGTCCTCTGACCCTAAATTGACTGGTAACCTTCTGACAGGTGAGGAAACTCTCTGCCCTCTCAGGCTACATAGGTTTTGTCTAAGCTGAGCTTGTATTCTGCCCACTGTGCCCTGTCAGAGGGTTTTCGTAAGGGCTACAGTTTGTGTTAAAAAATGAGCACTCCCTTCCCCTGACTTTTCCACCACCGTTTAATCACTTAGTTCCAAAGAATTTAATGTGAATTTGCAAGACTTTCAAAGTAAAGCTAGTTATTTTGATATGAATATTTACATTACCTGAAATCTTGAGGGAGAGAAGAGTTAGGATCTGTCTTCAGTCAGGATCTGTGGTGGTCTATGAAGCAATGAATAGTTTTGGAAATGTAGAAGTGTTTGCACCTCCCTTTTCTACATCCTATGCGTGTACTAACGTACATGTTCCCTCATTTATTCCTTTAAACAAGTTTGATTAGCAATTCTCCAGGTTTACTCTGCTCTTGTCTGTGTGGCTTCTATTAAAACTGCATTGATGCATTTCCTTTGCAATCGTTATATGTCCTTTCTGCTACATTTATGATTAGTTAGGAATGGCGCCTGCCCACTAGTATGACACACACAGAATAAACCAATTATGAGCATGCAGTCATGTGTAAAAAGCATTATTATAAAGTGTACAAGTCCATATTTTGACCCAGAATTACAATTTTGTGGTTATATTCACTTCAAATCTGACTGGTCAGTATGCCATACAAGGGTTCAGGAGGCATGATACACATGCCTCCTTTTTCAAGCATTTTGTTTTTAACTGTGTGCAGGTTTTGTGCCTGGAATATCCATCTTATTTTCTTGCTTTATAAATGTATTTGACGCTATTATGTTCAGTTATGTGTTTAAGAAATGTTTCTGCTATGTATTTGAAACTGTTGTTGTCTATTTTTTAGCTAAATGAGTAAGAGAAGTAAAAAACCTGAACATCAGTTAGGGGTACTACAATCTATAAAGATTGGCCAAAAATACAGGAAAATGAAGAAAGGGTACCCAAACTGTGTAGACACTCTTTGTGGTATATTCCAGCTGCTGCAAGATCCTGTTTAGCAAGAGAGGGAGAAGTTTCAAAGGGGAACAAACTGGCTGAAAAAGAGGTGCTCTTGATTTTGCTGTGCCAAATGGAAATAGCAAGAGGAAATAAGTGAATATCTGTAACCAGAATGGTAGAAACAAAGTTTCACAGCATCACAACACCTGACCTGTTGACCTAAAGGGATTGACTTCTGACAAAAAGTCATAAAAAGTCTTTTGATAAAATTAGCACACCGATGAACTAATTATTTTGGCCTTTTTCGAAACCATCTTTTGTCCCCGTCTTGCAGAGCATGGATGTGAGGTCTTTCTGTCTGTTTGATGACACTCCCTGACACTCCCATAACTGTACCTTGTAAGCGGTCCACTCCGAGTGGACCATTTTGGTGTTTATTGAAGATCAATTCTTTTCCAGTTACATGCAGTAAAAAGGAGCACAGTTTAAAATCTGTGCTATGCTAAGTCCAGTTACAGATTTTTACTCTGCAGGAAGTCCCATTCAGCTATGTCCTTCAGGACTACTGGAAAGTGTGCTCTTTGGCATCATCTTCCAAGCAAAGCTGAAACTGGGAGAAGCTTGGTGACAAAACCAGCCTGTTTGACCCTTTGCACTACCCAGCAGCTGGCAGACACCATTCTGTAGTTCCTCAGGGACCCTTCAGAGGTATTGCTTTGCAGGGCCTTGGAGTGTGATGTAAGTGAAGGGATGTACAGAAATTAGCATGGAAAGACCTTTCAACCAGTTTGGCATGGAACTCTTCTCACCTCTTTGAGCAACTTTTGCTTCTTACATGAAGTGTCTCTTCAAACTGGTTATACCCAGTTTAGGAGTTCCCCATTATTACTTATTGTTGAACACACACAGCAGAGAGATAGGATTAACGTGATATAAGGCTAAGAATTAACATGCTTACCACCCTGGTGAGTCTTTGCTGTCCAGACATTACTCAAGTGGAAGAGGGCTGGTCTTTGCTGCTCCCTAGAAGAGGCTAAGTTGCTAGTTGTTACCTTTCAGGTTTTAATTTTTTTAAAAAATTGAGATTTTTTACCTCCTTATGCAAGTGTTTCATTTCCTGAAGCCTTGCTATGCTGCTATTCTATCCTGACAATAACTTTGGTCTGTGTGGTTTTACTTTTCTATTTTACATGGCCTTCACTCGTGTGCTTTTCCATACTTAAACAACAAACTTCTTAGTAAATCTGAGTCAATAACACAAAACTGGGCTGCATCAAGTTAGGTCCTTGGTGACAGACAGCTGAACCCTGACCTGAGGGTTGCAGACAAGGGAGGGCACTGATTGCAGAAGCAGCACTTTGTACAGGGAAGAAGATACAGGTATATTTTGTTGGGTGGAAATGTATTTCAAATAGAATACCTTTAGTGGAGGTGAAGTGAGTTGTAATTATGGGTGGAATTTTGCTGAGAGCAAATTTTTTTCACAGAAACTCCCTCCTGTATTCACATCTTGCCTTAGATAATGTTATCTGATGTGTGGTTAGAGTCCCACAATGGCTACAAAACTTTTTGCTATTCCTTATAGCCACAGGAAAGCACAACTGCTGCCCTCAGCATTGCCTGTTCACTGTTCTACATGGATGAAAGGGGTGTTTGGAAGGTGCTCTTCTAGGCTACAGGCTCTAGTCAGACTTTTTATTAATAGCGTGTTGTGACAGATATGTTTAGTAAATGCCTAGAATAACATGTTGAGTAACAGTGTTTTGGGGGCTGTTTGAAGCCTAGTAGAAGTAAGACACTACTGTATTAAAGTGCCTCAGTTTTGTCAATTGGGATGATGTGGTGGTTGACTTGGAATGGCAAGAGTGGAAACGTGCTCTAGCCATGCTCCTTACAGGATGCTTTAAGAGAACCAGGTAAGTCAGTGTCCTTAATAACACAAACACAACTCCGGGTTAATTTATTGTATTAAATGCAGGTCATGGTAAGCTTATGAAGTAAAGCATCAATCAAAATCTCACTGGTGTTTCGATCAATACTATGACTATCTTTGCTGAGATGCACTCATAAGTTACTAATCATATACTGGTCAAAAATACAGGTACCAAGGAAACCATGCAGATATTAGCCAGGAAACAGGTATAATTAGGTAAAATTAAAAAGAGGGAGGAGGTTTTAATTCTGATGTTTTAGATTGCATATCAATAAGAAGTATCAAAAAAGCATGTTGCTCGTAGTTTTTTCAGCATTTTTCTGGTTGGAACTCTCAGCAACCTTAAACTACAAAGTTGAGAAAACTGAGGAAAAATGCAAGCAGATTAGAAGTCAGCAATTAAATGTTAAGGGCTGGACTATTTGCCTTCACTGCCTTGTTTTTTTCATGAAGCTTCAGGGGCAGGAGAGGAGGAATGTAATTTTTCTATATGTGTGTTGTAAGGAGAAGGTAAGGGGTATTTTGAGATTATTCTGGGTTTGTATTTTTTTTTTTTTTTTTAACTTCCAACAATCTGGTTTTCCTCTCTGGGAGATTGAAGAGTGCAAACTGCATTTCCTTTGAAGTCATATTTGGCATAAGGCTGGGTGAAAGCCTGTGTGCAGAGAGCTTTTATGGCTCCACCTTACTCTCAAATAACAAAGCCAGAAGAGCAGGTTTAATGCAAGGGAGCAAAACTCTGCACTTGTTATCTGTGGAGGGCTGTCTGATTAGAACAGTTAGGAGCAGTAGAGGGGTGGTCTTTGAGGCACAGGGTGGTTTCTGGGTGCTGCCTTACTTCGGAAGGAAGAAAAAGGACATACACTTTCAGCACATATGGCTACATGGCTTAAGGTTGAGCTTTTAACACTGCAGTTCATATTTTTCCATTGAACAGTGAACATAGGGTGCTGTCTAGGAGCAAGTAATAACTCATTCTAGGGGAGAGCAGAATCTGCCAAAGAAAAGGATGCTCTTGGATTTGTTGTGTCTGATGAAGAAGTGGAAAGGGTGGTCAGCCTTAAATTTCAGAGCATGGCTAACTGGTAGACTTGTTACTGTTACAGTTACAGTAGCAGCAGCTGCCTCAGTGCCTTTCTCATCAACTGCAACAAAAGACTTGTGAATAATTTTGGAGATGAGCACATCACCCTTCTCAGCCATTCCACTGAAATCAGCATTGCTGCTGAAGGCGCTGAGCATTCCCATGCTGCCCAGATTATCACCAAGGTCGTATCTCTCCTCCAGTGTGAACTTAGGTAGGTATAGATCCACAAGAGTTTCAGTCATCTTCTTGGAATCAGTCCATTCGGACAGCTTCTCGTATGTGAGTTCTCTCTCCAGCTATCATTTAAGAAAGAGAAGGAATTTGATGTTTACAAGGGAGAAAAACAATTTCCTAACAATGAATTAGTCAATTTCATGACAATTTAATGAATGAAACAATCTTTAAATGGCAAATCTAGCATTTAGCTGAAAGCACAAAATATAGATTGGTTTCTCTGATGATCAGAGGCAAGGTGTGCAACAAATACCTGAGACTTAAGGCTGTAAAGTTTTGAGAACCATTTCTCCAAAATTCCTTGCAAAAGAAAAGAGAGGGCACTCAACAGCTGCCATCCCCTAAGTCAGTTCTTTCATAGAATCAACTAGGTTGCAAAAGACCTTTAAGATCATCAAGTCCAACATTTACCGCACGACTGCCAAGTTCACCACTAAACCATGTCACTGTCTTTAAATTCAGTGCTGATGTGAAGGAAATTGCTAAGATATTGCCAGCGGTGTAGCAAATGGTTTGGTCCAGTTCCATAGAAACAAGTGTTAATATTGCACCTATTTCCTTGGCAATTTTAAAGCAGACTGATTCCAGCAAAATCTTTCACTGCCGTTCTCTGTCCTCAGCCTTATGTTACCAGGGTTCAGCTCAGATCAAAAGAAGGAGAGCAATGACAGGTATTCTTGAAATAACAGAGGCCAAGAATTTTAATGTCTTGCAATTGTAGTAACTACAGTGGCAGATCTCATTATTATAGCAAATCAGTCACATCAAAATCCTAGTTTTTCAGGCAGCAAACGAATGTGTGTGTGGCAAACAGAACGAGAACAAGATGGGTAGTAAACTTCCAGGTCATGGAGAAGAGGTGTCTGTTATCTCAGGAGGAAGCTGTGAATACTTGTACAGTACTGTCACTTCTGAATGGGCAATGAAAGGAGATTTAACCCTTACAGGTCATGTGGGATTGGGTGTCAGTCATGGGACTGTAAAGAGCTAAGCATCTGCTTATGCACAGTGTTAACTGTTTTCAGTTATTATCAAACTAAGGGCACTCACTGTGGAGGACCTTCTTGGCATTAGATAAGTATTAAATTTATTCAGCTATTGAGGAGATCAAAGAGCATTTCCTCAGAGGGCAAAGTACAGCTTCCAGCCTGTCTTTTTTTTATTTTATAGCTGAGTGGTGATAAAAAATGGATGTAGCATACTTTTTTACCTGTTCAAGACCTGTAGTGGCATCTTTGATGTCATCAGGAAGGAGGATGAACATACTGAGTTCATGTTTCACGTATGGCAACTCAATCATTTTGAAATTCAGTGTTTCCATGATGAGAACTGGAAATGTATTTCTTACGCACATCATCTTCACAGGCTTGGTCTTGTTCTGTGAAGTATTTATTTATAAGTAAGAAATCATTTCTTGAAAGGAAGGATGATGGTGACTCAGTGCAGTAGAGGGAGAGGACATTTTTGTAAGCAGCTTTTACAACAGTGATTTGTTATTCATTTCCAAAGTCTTTCTTGACTAGACAATGTTTCTTATCTTGTCATTTGTCCTAGAATATTTTGCTGAGTTCTGATTTTTCTTTTCTTCCCAAAACATGGACAGCAGCCCACATAAGAGAGTTAGAAATGTCTGCGGGGATTATGGAGATGGAGCAGCTATGGGATATAGTCTTACAACACTGCAACAGGGAAACAGCTATGGTTTAAGAGGATGAGTTTTGTGCACTTCTTCTGTGGCCCCCCCTCTCTGGCAATAAAAAGAGCATTTTGCTCTTTATGTCACAGCCCTTAACAGGAGGTGACACTATTGTCTCAGCAAAGGGGCTCATAGAGAGGGATATTCCTGGAAAGCAGTCACCTTTGCAGGAGTATGTAACCTCTCTTAACATCTGCAGCCCTTAATTCAAGGTAGCAGCCATTGTATACATGCTAATCAGAAAGCAGAAGCTATACACTTGGTGGAAATTGCAGAGAGCTCTTGTCTTTTGATGGGAATTCATTGACACCTCTTCGAGATACATCCACTCACATTTCTTCTAGTCTTGCCCAACCATGCAGCCATTCAGGGTACCCTGAGACAGCTGTATCGGGGCAGGTGTGCTTGTGCCTAGCTAGGCTGCTCAGCACAGAGGCCCAGGAACTGCACTCACCTATGACATGGCATTTAGTTCCTCCCCATGAAGCGTGGAGTCTCAAAATCATGATTTTACAACTTAGCCCTTTTAGCACTCTTTAAAAAAATGTCTTAAGTGACTCTAGCACTTCTGGAAATGGTAGCTGTTACCTGGACCTCATTAACATCTACCTGAGCAGCATCTTAATGTTGCAGTGAGCTGAGCACTGACACATTTTGCTGTAACCAGCTTTTTACAGAGAGCCTAGTTACTACAGGGTTACCTAAAAGATTTATGAAATGGATTTCAGCAGTAGCTGTTGTCACCAGGATGTTTACAGTAAGAAGGTTACTGGAGGAGTTTACCTTGCTCAGTCGGAAGGGTTGCAAAACTGTATTCTCTTCCGGAAATTTCACTTCCCATTCTGCCTTGAAGTAAACAGCATTTACTAGGATCAGCTTCGTGGAGGTTGCCACATCTCGTGGATTCAGCAGATTCTTGATTTTGCCTTTTGAAATCAGAGGAGTTGGTTTTATTCTAGTGTATCACAGTGAGGACGTGTTTACTGACTTTTCTCTCAGTTCAGCTCCTTAGTGAAAAAGTCCATGCCTCAGTGCTGTACTCCTTAAAATACTCCCCTGACATCAATCAATTAGCTTGTTTAAGTTTCTAAAGCTGTTTGCTGCTTGATTCTCCTGGCTAGCTGACAGAGATTGACTCCTTCCCCAGGAAACATCACAGCTTCATGGCAAGCAGCTAGAAGCAGGAAGCCATATACTGTCTCACCAGCTTGTTACACCAGGTAAAAGAAGGCCAGCACCTCTGGCTGGTGCAGAGTGGTATAGCTGGGTAGGCATTCCCACCTGCCTTGGAGCACACTGGCAAGCAGAGGTGTTTCTCTTCTCTGCCTTCTCTGCCTGTGATGCATGGGTGCAGCATCAGGGCAGCAGTTGTGCTTGAGGACCAGCTGATGAAGAGCACTGCAGAGCTCATGGGAGTCTCCCCAGGGAGCTCACTGAGGTCTGGATTGGGTATCTGAAGCTGCTTAAGTGTGCTGCTCTTTCTCTGTCCTCCCACTGCGTCTCTGCTCACTGTCCACATTGCAAGGCATGACCTGGCTGCTGCAGTAGCATGTGGAGAAGCAAGGGCACCTGCCCAAAGCAAATGGCAGGCTGACTTAATAAGAGAGGAAAAACGTTGGGTTGAGTTCAGCTTACCCTCAGTTTGTTTTTCAACCCAAGTGTTAATTTCCTTTCTGGCTTGTTCCAGTGCTGTCTTAAAGCTAACCTTGTGTGGCTCTGCTTTGTAGTAGTTCTTACTGAGCTGTATGTATACCTGAAAAATGAAACACACACACATGTAAAAAGAAGTCAGTTCTATACTATACTGGATTTTTCAGTCCCAAAGGGAATTTTTTAGCTCTTGGACTTCTTGATAGATTCTGGGCCTAGAGTACTGCAGGCTTTTATTTGTTACTCTCTGTTAGACTACAGATTAACAGTTAAGAAATAACCAAAGGACAGAATATTCTCTTCTTTTGTTCCCACTTTCATTTGGAAAAAGGAGGAAGACTGTGCACATCCCATGGATGTGCTTATTTTAATGCCTCTTTTATAACTGTATATGTTGGGGGTTCCAGTAATAAAGACATGTTGCACGAAAAGGCACCCCTACCCTATAGCCAGAGGGCAGTGAATCCTTAAATACTATGAGCAAACCAACTGGTAATTTTCCAGATAAGTGTATTACTGGATTCCAGGGATCTTAGTTACAGTATTCAGGGGCAGCTTCAAACCTGATCTATTAATGGCAGGCAATTAAAATGAGAAATATTTTTTACACTTTTTCTTCCTGCTGTCTGAGACTTAACTTACAGGCAATAATGCAAAAGTTTTTTCCACATAAATGCGGTTGGCAGTTTTCAGTGAGTAAGTGCTTCTGGGTTTGTTGATGGCAGTCAGGAGCTCTTTGAAGCCAGAGTGGGTATCTTCAGCTTGCTTGTGCTCAGGATCCTTGGAAAGAGAAACCATATGTTCAGAAATTGCATTTTCTCATGAAGTTTTTAAAGCACACTAAGTGATGTATGTGGGACAGCGATTTGCATTTCGTTCTCTTCCTTTTTATTTTTCTAAGTTTACCATCACTGCTATTTGCATATTCTTTGTGGCTGGATTAACTGATTTGTCATATAGCAAACCTTTCAGACTATCCCAATGACTTGCCTTTCATGCTTCTCAGAATCTGAGTGAAAGGAACTGAACCTGAATCCATTGTGAAGTATGTTGGGGTTTGTAATTTAAAGAGAGCGGCAGTCAAGAAATACAAGACTTCTAAAGCTGTGTTTGGATATTTTGATTCTCAGGTTTCTTTATCTTTGGATTTCAGTTCTGATAGGTACCATTTTTCTTCTCTTTGGTCTCCCCCGAGAAGGTCTGGCCACAGAAGAAGAGCCTTCAGATCTTGCTGCTTGAGTGAAATGAAGAACCTGCAAGCAGAGTTTCCGAAGGTGAGAAACAGGCAGAAGGAACCGGTGTGATTTAAAGCCAAATGGGGATCAAATGGTTGTCTTCTTTTGCTCCCTATGATAACTCATTGCACTACCTGGTGCTTAGGTGACTAATCAAAGGGATGGTGAAGCTTTAGTACACATAAATCCCACAGAGTAAGAATGGGTTGCACAGTCCCCCTCCCGCAGCACTGACACAGTGCTTCCATCTGCATGCTGCAAGGCTGAACTCCCTTCCACAGCTGTTGCTCTCAGCAATAGCAGTGTGTTTGTGCAAACCCAAAATGGTTCTGCTCAAGATAATGGTACTAAGGCATCTGAATGGGAACATGGTGACTCAGAGGAGAGTCCTGGGCAGTGCTGAACATCCCCTTTGAGCCAGCAATATGCCAGGGAGTAAGAAGGATTGGGTCAGAGAATGTGGAGATACCGAAGCCCTTCTGGTTTTCCTGCTGGATTGTCAGGCAGTTGTTTAAGAAAGCATAAATCAAGATAGAAATGTGCATCCTGGACAGGGGAGAGAGGGAGGGTGCTGGGATCTGCAACCTCTTGCCAATTAGGTGCTACTGGAACCAGCTCTTTGCTTCTCAAAGGCTGGTCTGTGACCAATCCCATCTGTGACCGATTCGTAGAATCACAGGATGAATTAGAAGGTGTAGAATAATTTAGAAGAAGTCAGGTTCAGAGAACCTCTGTGCTCAGTGTGTGATACCCACAGGACACTTTCTCTTAGTGGAGAAGTGGGGGATCTGCTATGAAATTAGTAAAATTTACCATTCATTCTCTGGTCTGCTTTGGTTCCTTGTCATTGTGGTGGCAATTTTATCTATTTAGCACTAAATTTTGCAAGCCATTGTAGGAGACCGGTGTTATGTGGGATGTATGCTTCATAGAGCAACCTACCTCTGCCATCTCTATTGCTGTATTGCCTTTTGCACCCAGGTACATCAGAGCCAGAGCGGATGATATGCTCCAGGGGGAAAAGAAAATGTTTTTGCCCTTGTTGGCCTCATTCAGCTTGTTGAAAAGATCAACTGTAAACTTGCCAACTGATGTTGAGATCAGTTCCATTGCTGCAACCTGGAAAGAGGCAAGAGGCAGAATTGTACTATTTGAACGTTTAAAATTACATACACAGTGCATATTAGTGAGAAATGTCACATGTGCAACACGATGCCTTGGCACCCACTAAAACTAATAGCCTAGTTGTATGTTTTATCTTCCACACAGATGCTGTTTTCCATCTGTTAGAAGCAGCAATTTATTTTAGGTTTTTTGTTATTCAAATAATATTTTCATATGATTTTACATATGTCCTCTTCTACAGAGCTGCCATTTTCTTTGTGTTTCTTTCTGCTTTTGGTTTTCAAAAATGTGCAAACTTGTAAGCTGCTTATTTTTCTTCCTTTTTGTGCTTAACTAATGATTTCTCAAAGTAATGTTCCAGGGGAATTTAAATGTGATTTTAGTACACAGGCTTACAGCACACCTGAGTTTCCCACTACTTCCTCTTTGATCTATGTAGAATTGAGAGCTGAAACCGGGAAAGAATTTAGGCATAATTCTTAGGCTCATGTGCTTTTCCTGCCCAGCAACCTATTCTGGTGTTTGCTTTTAGATAGAGTTTTACTCATGATGTTTACCTACCATCCCTCCCGTACGTTCCAGCAATTTTATTTTTCCCAGAAACTGGCAGATTCCTTGAGGTTATGAGTATTTCAGACTTTAAAATATCTGCTCAATAGTGCCTGCCTTATGTTTTCCAGTTAAGAGACCAGAAACATTTCATTGTTGTTATTGTTGTTGTTAATATTATTATTGAGATTTATATCTATGGAATGGAGCAACAGAAATTATGGGACAATCTCTGAAGTCTAAAGGTATTTATCAAGTGTTTGGTTGCAAATCATTGCAAACTGAAGATTTTAATTAGTAAGACAGTTACTGCCCTAAGAAAACTTCCCTTCTTGTGATTTTATGCCCCAAATTAGCATTTTTCCTTAGCCTCAGAGATCTGTATTCTCTAAGGGATGACATCTAGAAAAATATCAGTGTAGAATAATGCACTATAGCAGTGTTATATTTTAAATAACTTATACAGCCATATGAGCCACAGATTGATTTTTAAAAGTATCAGAAAAGTTACTTAAATTGGTTTAAATATTTACCTCTGATCCTGTGAGAGAGAAGACTTTTGTCTTGTCCTCAGTCAGGTTCTGCGTTTATGTGTTAAGCAAGGAATGCATTTAGAAATATAGTAGTCCTTGCACCTCCCTTTCCTTCTCCCCTCCATCCAGGTGGTTTCTGCCTACGCAAAGTTCCTTTTTACCACATCCCCAAAAGACCTTACGTAACTTTGTCCTCTTTGTTGACCTTGTCACTTTTCATGTTTAGGTGTTTCAAAAGGACAATGGATTTACGATCTCAGCTCTGTTGTTACACCACGATGGTCTACTGACAGGATAGCAGAACAGTTCAATTGTTCCAATGGTCTTCTGGTGTTGTGGACATAACTGAAGGTAGCTGGTCTGTTGTTTAAAATAAAAGACTAGTGAAAATGTTGCACAACTAGAATGCTTGGGTTTTATTTCTGAATATAAGCAGGTACTGTAGGCCTGATTCTCCTCTGCAGCTTTGTGCAGCTGTGACTCCTGGGTTTCAGATGTGGTACGTCAGCATAAAATGTCAAGCTTAATGATTGGTTTAGACACAGAGAGTGCAAATTCAGACTGGAGATCATTAAGAACATAGACAGAGGCAAGGCCATGAAGGACCATTCGGGTAAGGGATGGACACCCCACTATTTATGTGGTGAAGAAATCTCATTGCAGCTGTGGTTGGGAATCATTTGAGAGAAATGCTACAAAGCACCGAGTTAGTGCACAGTACTTGCAGGTAGTGAAGGAGGGCAAGGACTAAAACAACCCCACTAGGAGGGCTTGAGCAAGGATGGAGTGAAAAAATACAATGAGGGCAAACATAGCACAGTAGTTGTTACTCTGCGGTCCCAGAAAAGAGACAGGGCGCTGTTTGGTGGTGGAAGAAGGAGAAGGTGATGGCAACAACTGTAAGACCCTGGATGACAGGGGAAGGGTTATGGAGGAAGGGAAGGAAACTGTACAGTGTGCTAAGCATTTTGCTGCAAGCCTGATTACAGGAACAGGGTGGGCCAAGTCTTGTAAAAAGTGGCAGAAATCAGTGTTGTGCAAGGCAGTGAAGAAATGACAGAAATTAAACAAATGTTTAATATGATGAGTAAGTCCTCAAGAAGTCAGGATAGGAGAAAGGTCAGCTGAATGGTTAGGTAGTGGGAAAGCCCAAGCCCCGAAGTGAGAGGCTCCAAGTCCCTAAAATGTATGCTGAGGATAAGCAAGCTAGCTCTCTTTGCTAGTCAAGGTGCAAGAATGCCAGGCAGGATGAAAAAGGGAGGTGGCAAGGCAGAATGGCTGTTGACAAGATAGAGAAAATCACACATGTTAATTGAAAGGGACATCCACAGGCCAACTTCCTGCTTGGAGCCTTTCTGGGCAACCTTCTCTAGTGCTGTGCTGCTCACTTGAGGAAAAAGTTGTTTCCTAACGTGCAGCTCACCCTTCAAGTGTTGTGGTCATTGCCACTTAGTAATGATCTAGCACTGCCAAGAGGACATTAACTGGCATCTTTGCAACTAGGCTTAAAATAGTTGAAAGAGAGAAAAAAGTTGACTCATACTTCCACTGTTTATTATAGCCTATGATTTGGTTTGGGTGCACATTGTCATGGTTATGTTCCTCCTTGGCCTCCCAGCTGTGGCTTTCCTGTCTTTGTTCCTGAAGCACATTAGGAAGTGCTTAAGAGGCTTGGCCATGGTAACGTGAAGCCCTTGCATTACGTGAAGCATGGCATGGCAGAATAGCATCTGAATGCAAAAGGGGACCTGTATCATGTTTCACACCCGATACAGAGGTAGTGCTATTGAGGTGGTATGGGGATAGAATTAAGCACTTGCTTCACAGCACTTCTCCTATGCCCTTTCTATTTGGGAAGCAGAGCTAGAAGGAGCCCTGGAAGCAGCTAGCCACATGAAGAAAATAAAAAGGACTCAGTGGCAGTCAGCAGTCTGCTCTCTGTCAGGAAAAGGGAGTGTCGTGGTTTAAACCCAGTCAGGCAACTAGTTCACTCACCCCCCCCCCCCCCCCTCTTTCCTTCCCCCTACTCCCAGAGGGATGGAGAGGAGAATCGAAAAGAATGCAACTCCCACAGGTTGAGATAAGAACAGTTTAGTAACTAAGGTATAACACAGATCACTACTGCTACCACCAATGATAATAATGATAAAGGAAATAACAAGGGAACAGAATACAACACCTCAGCACCAGCTGACTAGTAACTCACCCCCCAAGCCCGACCAAGCTCCGACTGATACCTCCTCCAACCCTGCAGTCCCCCAGCCCTTCCGGCTAACTCCCAGTTATCCCTGGGCATGAAGTGCTGTGGTATGGAATACCTCTTTGGTCAGTTTGGGTCAGGTGTCCTGTCTCTGCTTCCTCCCGGCCTCCCCTCCTCCTGGCAGAGCATGAGGCTCACAAAGTCCTTGGCCAAACCAAAACATCGCTATCAGTTCTGTTCCCAGGCCGAAAGTCAAAACACTGCACTGCACCAGCTACCAAGAAGGAGAAACATGACTGCTACTGCTGAACCCAAGACAGGGAGTCCTGCCATCTCAAGAAGAGATGTTTCTAGTAAGATGCTGTTGCAGTATGCAAGTCCTGTAAAAGACCCAGTCCTTTGCTCTCTGTTGTGTATTCAGAGAGTTAGGAGCACCCCCTACAAACACGTGTGACTGATTAAGACACTCTCTTAGGAGAAAGGGCTGTGATGGGAGTAAATATGTTCTGAAATGTGTTGTGGTTTAAGCCCAGTTGGTAACCCAGAACCATACAGCTGCTTGCTGACTCCCCCCCCTCCCTTCCTCCCCCCTGCTCCCAGAGGAACGGGGAGGAGGATTGAAAGAATGTAACTCCCATGGGTTGAGATAAGAACAGTCCTGTAACTAAGGTATAACACAAACCACTGCTGCTACCACCAATAATAATAATGATAAGGGAAATAACAAGGGAAGAGAATACAACTGCTCACCACCCACCAACAGATACTCAGCCCTACCTGAGCAGTGATCTAACCCTTCTGGGTAGCTGCCCCCAGTTATTATACCAGGCATGGCGTGCTGGGGTATGGAATACGCCTTTGGTTAGTTTGGGTCAGGTGTCCTGCCTCTGCTTCCTCCCAGCTTCCCGTGCCCCTCCTTACTGGCAGAGCATGAGTCTTGTCTTTGATTGGGACAAGTGTTACTTAGCAACAACTAAAAACATCGGTGTTATCAGCACTGTTCTCAGACTGAAAAGTAAAAGACACAGCACTGCACCAGCTACTAAGAAGGAGAAAAATACTTGTTATAGCTGAACCCAGGACAGCATGTAATCTTCCAGAAAGCTCTTAGGGAGTCAGTATTAAAGGCTTGGTTGTCTAATTTGATCTTGCCTCAAACTGGTGAAATAAGTGGCGAAGCAAAATGAGAGTAAAGCAGTGGGGTGCTGGGCTGGCAACAGTATTAAATGCATAAAAGGTCACAAAGGAGAAGGTTTCAATACATGTGTTTTATATTTTTCCAGTTCTACAGTGTTGTTCAATATTTTCCAATTGTTGTGGGGCAAAATTAGAAAGTACATGTGTTAGCCCCTTTGCATGCAAGAAAGAGGCACCATCAGAACACAGGATTTTGCAGGTTTATTTCACTGTCAACTGTGCCAGGCTGCAAAATGGGTATAAAACTGGCAAGAATGTGGTAAGGTAGCTGTCATGGGATGACCAGCTCAGTGAGCTGAAACTAATGGAGATGCAACAGCCTTTTGCAGGAATGATTTTTTTCCTGGTCCTTTTCTTCTTATGAACCAAAGCAAGCGTGTTTGGAATTACTGGTTTAGATCAGAACTTGGTATGTTCTGCATTGTGGTAGTTCTGGTTCAGAAAGTGCACTGTTCTGTGCACAGTTTGGTGCTTATAGTGTAGTGCTAGCATTTTGGGGTTCTTTGGCTAGGAAAATGAGCAAGAGGCATGAATTCCAGATTATTTTCCATATGTGCTCTCTTCTAAAATTGAGAGATTTGTCAACAGTACAGGAAAATTAAGAGGTGCACAGACTATGGAGGTGCTCTTCATGGTGTGCAGTTTGTTCATTGTTGCTGCAAGAGTCTGTTTAACAAATGTTGAGTTTATGGGGAAGAGAATCTTCCCAAGAAGAGGATACTTTTGGTCTTGTTGTGCTGAATAAAGAAGAGGAAAGGGTGATCTGCCACAAAAATAACAGTAGCACCAAGACTTCGTGATGCCAGTGTTGCTGAACTGGCAGCTGCTGCCTCTGTGCCTTCTTCATTGACTTCCAGATAACACTTGTGAAACACTTGTGACAAAAACAGGTCACCATTTTCTGACATTCCTGTAAAATCAGCTTGACCTTCAATGAAGGCGTCTTGTAACCCCATCCTGCTCAAAGTAGATTTGAGGCCATATTTCTCCTCTAATGTGAACCTGGGCAAATAAACTTCCATTTTCATTTTCTCCATCAGTTCAGGGCTGGTCCATGCAGACAAGTTTTCAAAAGTCAATTCTTTTTCTAGCTGCAGTTAATAAAAAGAGAATCAGACAATTAAAATGTGTTCAAACTCTTGTGCTCTAAGGGCTATTTCTTCTCTTAAATTGAGACTTTACAAGAGTGTAAGAAAAAAGGTAGGGAAAGACCAATCTGGAGATCTTTCTGGCTGAAGGAGTGTGTTGTTCTACAGCAGGTCAATGCAGTATTTTAACTGGTTTCAGTAACTGTCAGGGAATATGAAAGGGTTAAATAGTTCTAAAACAAAAATATCAGTATCAAGTAACAGTAGGCTGGTTGATTTGTAGTAGTTTTTCAGTAGTCTGGTCACATTTCTGTATTCCCTACATTTTAGAATTTACTAAAAAGTGCTTTTCATCTGTAGAACACCCACTAATGTGAATGAGAATTTAGTTAGTTACCCAAAGGCAGCATCTGTCTCCGTACAGAAGGTGGCAGTGTCCATATGTATTAGCTCTGGACACCCTGGAAAGTAAAGGAGGCTGCCCAGTTTGTGGTTCGGTGGGATTTTTTTTTGAGTGGAAACATATCTGTT